GTTTCCCATCACAAAAGCTTGCAACGCTAGGAAATGAACCTGTCCCAAAATTATGGGAATGCCTATCACCATTATTTTAAGCAGGAACATAGTTGTCGTACATTCTCCAAAATAAATTTAGCCGTTGTTTGTTTTATAAATTTAAATTATTATTTAAATCTTTTTATTACATTATTTTTTTCATAAAATTTAAATTTTTATGTTTAAATTTATGAATTAAACTGACAATAATGAGACGTTTGGTTCATGAATTAGAATCATAAGATTATAACTATTTTTGATTTACGTGTATTTTTTATGAGAGAAAATACTATAGCAAACCACGAACCATGATTCGAATCGGGATACGAATCCCCAACTAAACAACTCCTAAATATTGTACACATTTACTTTGTATTATTATTATAAATTTTATCTTTTTAAATATTTGATTTATGAAAAATACTTCTTTTAAAAAACTTAACTACTTAATTAATTATAATTTAAAAAATAGAAATATATAGACTAATATTAAGAGCCTGTTTGGTTGGAGGATTCGTTCTCTGATTCGAATCATGATTCATAATTCGCTACAGTATTTTCTTTTATAAAAAATACACGTAAATTAAAAATAATTATAATTTATGAACTAAACATGCTCTAAGAAATAAAAATAAAAAAACTATATTTTAAGGGATATTTTTTAAAAATTTCCTATTATTAAACTGTAGCTTTAGCCCATGTGCACCTTGGGATTCTTATATAATTTTTTGCTGAGATTCTTGTACGCTGACGCTCATCGCGAACCCACTACATTACGTTTGTCCTTTTGTGGGTCCAAGTCACCATTGATTTTTCGTTTTCAATGGTAAGTTATTAAAGACCTTCCAACGTGGAAGAATACTATATATAAAAACTCTCGCAATAATGGAACTTTATATAAAGCCTCGGCAATCATTTTGGGTCTATTTGTTTAAAGTTTCTGTTTGAATTATGATTTTTAATTTTGTTGTTTTTTTTTCGGAAAAATTTAAATTTTTAAAAACAAAATGATGAGTTATGGTTTAAACTTATAAATTAAGGCGGCGTTTATTTTAAAAATTTTATTTAGTTTAGGATTATAATTTTTACTTTTATTATAGTATTTTTTTCATTAAAAAATTTAAATTTTAAAAATTAAAATTATGAATAATAATTTTAAATTTATAAACCAAACATCACCTAAATAAACTCAAATTGGCCATGAAACTTACCTTTGTATCAATTACAGTAACTCACCATAGTTACCTTAATAGATAACGTTTTTTGCCATGTACCATTTAATGTGCGCTGGAAGTAATCTTCAAGACACTAGCAAGATTTTGAAAAAAATCCGATGTAATTTTTACTAGATTGAAGATTTTCAACAGAAAATTTTGTACCGTACTTGGATCACAAAAACTAGTCCTCAGGCCATGCTAATTGCGTATGTGGCACTAAAAAGTGTGATAATAATATATTGATACGTTGTTATTATTATTTGTACTCTAATATATAATGCTTTTTTATTACTAAATCTATTTTTTACTATAATTACTAGGCTTTATAAATTGTAATTGTAAAATTCTTAATTTTAAAATAATTTGAAAATAGAAAATGTTGCAATGATAAATAAAAAATTAGCAAGCAAATGTTAAATTTGTCATATGTTATACTTAGAAGCAAATTTGGTACCAAATATAACATATTTCATACAGCAAATTCAAAACACAAAAATAGCATTGCTTTGGAGAATAATTTTCCTACTTAAATGCTAAATTTAGCGCTGCATTTTTTGAACGACCAATTGAAGTATTAGGCTAGGTTGATACACATCAGTCAAAACTACTCTTGGATTCTTACCACCAGAAAGGTTTATTTTTTAGCAATACTTATTGTAGGACATGCATTTTTTGTTTTGTCGGTAGTAATTGTGTTTTGGCCGTTAGATTAGTTTGTCAACAGTCTAATCTGGAGTAGAAATAATTGTGTTACGTGCTGTAAATTTGTAACGCTGACATGCACAAATTTGACTATCAAAAGACTGAACAGTTAAAAACAACAGCTTCTACTGATAGAAGAGGAATGCATGTCCTACCATAAAGGTTCCCTTATTTTTGTTATGGCAAAATTTATAGGACTCAAATCTCATGTCTAATTTTGGTGATTTAATTAGTGTCTAACTAATCATATCATGCCACATTAAATAAAAAATTTGAATTATTTTTTAATTAACTCTTTTGTATTTTTCATAAGATGATGTGATGTGATTTGATTGGTTATATACTAATTGTGACACTAAAAATTAGACATAAAATCTGAATCCAAATTTATAGTAGGACAAGCTTTTTTACCCTACTTGTAGTTGCTAAGTACTGTTTTTTAATCAGTAGATAGCTTTTCAACGGTTATGTACTGCTTTTTATTTATTATTACGTAGCTGCATATTTTAGCAAAGATTACTATCAATAAATACTGTTGTGAAGGCTTTACTCATTCACTTATCAACATTTCCCACATGTCAAAATCTCTAACTCAAAGTCCAACTAAGAACAGAGAATGGACCTCATTCATTTTCTTGCAGAATAGCTAAAAACCAAACACAACCCTCGTAATAAATTTATTTTAATATCTATTACATAAAAACCATATTTGGAAAACATGACTACTAAACAAGATAAAACTTGTCAAAACACAAAACTAAAGAAGAAAAAACCAAAAAAAAAAAATAATGATAATAATAATAATTTCAGAACTTTAGACATTAGGCCCCGTTCACTTCGCTGATTCGAGTTTAGAATTCGAGTTTTTCTACAGTAAAAAGCTCTCACAAACAATCACATCTAATTTTTTTGCTACAGTAAAAAGCTCTCACATAAAGTCACATCTCAACTCGAATCAACGAAGTGAACGAGGCCTTCTCAAGCCAAAAATTTTCAAGTGAAAATTAGCACTTGGAGTACAATCCCATATCTTGAACATTCTTCTTTACCAAAGAATCAACGAATCAAACCAACCAAAATAATATTCTCTTGAGGAGAGAGAGAACCATCTATATCTCTTCATCTATATAGGAATCCACAAGTACTCAACAGAGTAAAACTAATCACAAAAAAGAAAAAGAAAAAAAAAAATTGTAGCAGCAAAGAGTAAGCAAAAAAGTAGAGTCTTTTGGTTTGGCTACAAGGTGAATAAGTCATTATCTATATCTCATTCGCTCTCTGATTATCTTCAGTCCAACATATCTGCAAAAATAAAGCCAACACAAGCTAAAGAGTCAGCATTCACTTGAAACAAGTCATGACTGCAAAGTTTAGGTAAGAGGGGAGAAATTCACCTTCCAAGCATCATGACAGTTGCCTGAGGATTTGTTCCCGGTGACACGACAAACGTCGAACCGTCGACAACTCGCAGTGAATTAAGGCCAATGACTCTATGATCACCCTCAACCACTTTCTCTACTAAGCATCCTCCATGGTAGTGCCATATGGTGCTAACTGTGCGGCGGCAGAAATCAGCCATCAGCGCGTAATTGGACTGATCCGCGGGCAATGCAGTCCCCAGGAATCGAAAATCTCGATTCCCAAGCCCATCCCGGAACTTGAACTCCTCCATGGGGATGCTCCTAAGCACTCGTCCAATAGTTCGCGTTCCATTGACGCACTTGTCCATGTCCACAGGGTTGTGGAAGTAGTTGAACCGGACAATGGGGCTGGTTCTGACATCCGTGGACGCCAACCGAAAAGAGCCAATTGAGAGCGGCCCGTTGATCTTCGACATGATTGTGGCCACCGTGAGGTAGATAGGCGAGGAAGGCGTGCGGATGAACACGGTGCGAGGAGGGGCGGCGAAGGGAACCAAATTGGAGGCTGCTTCAATGTAAGCCCCCGATGGACTAATTCCAACAACTTGAATTAGTGAATGCTCCAACGGACTCGGAGGCACAATTGAGATACTATTCCTGGGATTGTCATAAAAGAATCTCCCAACATAAGGAAGATCATGAGAAACCGGAATTCTCCATGACGAAAGATAAGCCCTCGGACCAATTCCGCTCAACAAAAGCAGTTGAGGGCTGCCAATTGCGCCTGCAGAGAGCAGAACTTCCCCATTCTCCCTGACCATAGCATTGTGACACTTGCCTCTTCTGTCCCGAAAAACGACTCCGTTCGCCGATTTCATCGCCCCGGGATAAGCCGGCGAGGCCAGCAGAATCTTCTCCACACTCGCGTACACAACAACCTTCAAATTCGGAGGCCTTCCATAGAACAAAAGATCGGCAGCACTGTGTCTCCTTCCCGAGCTATCAAGTATAGAACCACCAACTTTAGTCCCCAACAAATGATCCAAACTAAACCCATTATAGGGACCAACTCCAACTTCCAACAACCCATCTCGGACACCCAATTGCCACGCCTTAACCTCAGGCCTGAACACGATCTTGCTCTCCACCCACTCGAACGAATCGTTGACCATCTTGCGGTCCCAAGCGATGCCGGACTTTTGGTAGAACTCCTCCTCGGCCCGGGTGTAGAAACCGGCGTTGATGGTGCTGCTGCCGCCGAGGACTCGTCCTCTGGCGTTGGGGACGCCGTCCTCGGAGGTGAAGACTTCGGCGGGGGAGTCGTCGGCGTCGGCCTCGGCGAGGGCCGTCAAGAAGCCTTCTTGGTTCATCACGTTGGCGTCGCCGTACGGGACGCCGCCGCGCTCCAAGACAAGCACCCGGAAGGCGCGGGACAGCGTCGCCGCCAGCGGACAGCCGGCGGTTCCGCCGCCGACGACGATGTAGTCGAAGTACTCCTCGGAAGGAAACTCCGTCGCGTTTATGATCATGTTGCGAAAAATAGCCTCTGTAGTATACGTATACATGTATACATATATATGTGTATATATATATATATATATGTCAGATTTTCAAGTAAAGAGGACGTGAAAACAAAGCTCAGATGAAGAGAAGAGAGTTAGTTTACCTTGGCGAGGGACTTGTGGGTAGGCGTAAGCGACAATGGCGGAGCAGAAAAAGAAGAAGAAGAAGAAGAAGAAGAAGAAAATGAGGAAAGACAAGTGTTGGAAGGAAGAGAGAAATATGGGTATTCTCATTATAAGATTTTCTTGTTGTTTCTTGGGGGAAGGGGAAGGATTCTTGGTGTTTGTTTGGGATTAGGCGGGGGAGAGAGAAGAAAGAGAGGGAAAACATTATTATTTTTATTGGAAGAGCAAGTCTCGAGTGTTTAAACAGTCTTCCCCTTTATAATCATGTTAACGAATTTAAGAAAAACGCTTGAGAACGGCAGTAATTTCTCCCGACTTAATTTATGCCATATTATTGTTTATAATTATCGGTACGTTTTTTTCTTATAAATTTTTTAAAATTGTAAAAATCATGGTCTAAAATCTTGATTTGAACCTTGATTTAAACTCATATATCAAACTTCCCTTATAGATGCAATCTGTACTATAAACTAATTGTCTGCTTTCTTTTACCAAATTTCTAATCCGTACAAAAATTATATAATTTTTTTAGATAAATAAATAAATCCAATTGATATTTAAAGTCTCACTTATTTTGTTAATTTGAATCGCAATTTAAGTTTTTATTTCAATTTTTTCTCTCATAAAAAATTTAAATTTAATTTTTTCCGTTATAATATTTTTTTCACATGAATTTATTTTTTAACTCAAGTTCTCAACTTAAACAAGTGAAACAAACAATTTGTATCTATTTGTATCGTTATATTTTAAGTTAATATCTTCTAATTTTTTCCATCAAAATTAGAGGTTACTAATTCAATATTTTTCATTTCAACACCAAAGGTCTTTCGTACTTAAAAGAATAATACAAAATTAATATTTTCCGTATTTCACATTAGATGTCTGAAAAATAATATATTTGTTGGAGCAAATAACATGGGAGGGTTGCTAAATCTGCTAGAAACCTGAAAATGTGAAATGGATAAATCACAGTACAAAAACTAAAGAGAAAGAGGGTTGCTAAATCTGCTTAACAGAAGTAGCTCCGAAACCTGAAAATGTTGCATCTGGAGCAACTAGACAAACTTCCCCTTCGACCAAAAGGCCGTAGAGATTCAAATGTGATAGCACAAGATATACCTTCTAAATATACTAGAAAAAGATGTGAATGGAGTAGCAAATTGATAGCCTATCAGTATCTGGTTCTCTTAGGTATACCCTTTCTCATTCAAATGAACTCTGATTTAAATTTGAATGTCGCGAAAAAAATAAAAAAATAAAAAATAAAAAACCATTTTCTGACTAGAAAACAAAAACTAAAGTGCTTTAGAACTGCAAGCATGATCATCCTTATATGAAGAAAAAAAAAAACTTCGCAGATAGACCCAAATCCACGACCCTCTAAATCGTACATCAGACTGGATGCTACAATGGTTTAGGAGATCTTTTGCCACTAAAAAATTAGAAGAAGCTGCTTCAGTGTTTCAGGGTGATAAGTTGAGTCCTCAGTAGACAGTAATAATGAAAAGAAGAGCTTGAAAGAACTAAAGTTTCACCAAAAATAATCAAAATGTATGACAAAATTGTTTCACCAAGACCATTTACTCTCAATTTTCAGAAAGATGAAGTACCATTTTGATGCATGGTTACAAGCTTTGCCAATGAAAGGCAACAAGTAGGACCCTTCTTTAAGATGTTCTCAATATCAACGGCATTGTCTCTACAATCAAAATGATCCAAGAGACTAGCACTTAATCTGCACATGTAAATATCCAAATGGAACTGCTTAACACGAAAGGAAAACCTTATTGCTCACAAAATGATAAATAGCAATAGAAGTTTTAAATAATAAGTTTGCAAGTCATAATGAATTAAAATATTTTGAATTACACACCAAGAAGCTGTGATTCAAAATAAAATCTGTTACGGAGTTGGCAGCAAACCATCAGGAGGCACTTAAAGTAGTTTATACAAGTAGTGTTTATCTCAGACTGCTGCACACTACAAGAAACGTACTAAAGCAAACAGTTCAAATAACAAGACCCATACTCTGAGGAGCAGTGCCATCAAATGAGCCTGGTATTTTTATTTAAATCCAGATATTATTTACTGTCAACTAATCTCTCCCTCTCTCTGTTTTTTTTTTTTCCTGGGATACTTTATCATCTGTTCCCTTATATTGATTATTTTATCAATAAAAGGTTTTGTTTATCAAAGAATAAATATTCAACCAATCTTTCCATCCACGAGGGCACATCAGCCGTTATCATTCTTTCATTTTCAAGCCCAGTTCTAGAAGCTAGCCCAAAATTTTCTTCTGATAGAGGGAACCGAGAACAGGAGAAGGGATGTTCAACTGTTGCCATCACAAGACGCAAACGGAATTAAGAAGAGAAGTTAGATTATCTTACACTAAATAAACAAATGGAAAATACATACTCCTGAATTCCCTTGCAGTGAGGAGTGCTGCGTTTGAATTACAGCAGACTTCAAGCTCATTTAGGGCCTCATCAACTTGACCACCAACCAGCAACAACTAAGCCACATGAAATTCATAAGTAGTCATTATATTCAGCCATAGCGTCTGCGTCAAATCTGAAGGAACGATCAAAGTTATGCACATGGACTTCACAAAACCATTATAGGAGCACCTAGAGAAAACATGTGATTACTAATCTCATGATCAAGCCACTATCTGGAGAGAATATCTATTAACATGTTACCAGTTATCAAACCTCATACAAGCAACTCTTTTTCACGATTGAAAAAGAAGGAAGTGGAGGAAGAAGAAATGAGAATCATACCTTAGAGCAGCCTGATGGCCATCCTCAACATTCCCTTCTGAAAGACAGAACAAGATGAACTCCAAATGAACCATAAATTTATCCTGCTCAGAACAAAAAATCCATGTATGAATACTATAACTGATTAGAGATTAAAGTGCACATACAATTGGATGATATACCTTTCTTTTCCTCCTATTTTCTTTCCTTCTCAGTAAACACAATTAAGGTTAGCACTGAACAACTATACCATAATTCCAGACACATACCTCAACTAGCCGACCTTTTGGCATTCCAATCTTTTTCAGCCAAACATCATAAATGTTTTTTATCCGAGTGGCGTTAAAGTAGTCAGCTCTCACATGTGAAAGAACATCCATCAATGCCTAACAACGAATGCAACCCAACCGTAAAAATCGACATAAAAAAAAATTTTCCAATAAAAAGAAGCTACAAAATATATACAGCACACTTGAAGCAGTTGTTGGGCAGTGACTTGTCTTTGCCAGTCCCTTTCAACAACACACTCAGCACGCCACTTGCTTCGGTCCAGTTTTGCTGCCTCACGAGCTTCCGCAAAAGGTTGTTCAACCGAGCATGGTTTTCAGCCCTCAAGGGCTTGGAACCCAGGCCTAGGGCATAGGATGGCTTGGTCAACAACAAAACAATGTGTCTTGTTGGATTACCAACTTGACTATCATTGAACATTGTTGTTGACTTTCTCTTGAGGTTGTGTCGTTGGATTGAATCATTGCAATGATATGTTCGCCTTGTTGGGGATTTGGACTTTGAACCCTGGTCATCATTTTATGCCTAATTGTAGGGCTGTCATCGGTTAAAAACAGCCGGCTTTGGTCGGTTCAGTGATGCAACCAACCACCGTTGGTTTTCAAACAGTGAAACTGAAAGCCGAGTTGATGGTGTGGTTTTCAGTTGGTTTACCGATGACTATCAGTTCTAGCAGTTTTCAGGGGCCGGTAACCCTGCAGGTTTATGATCAGTAATCAGGCATTTTTTTTAGCAGTTTTATGGGTTTCTTTTTAATTGTATTTTGTATTGGAGAAGAGGATCTTAAACAACAACTATTTCACATTTCAAGTTCAACATTGTTTAGTACTCAAAAAAGTCAAAAACATCCGGGCCCTGTTTAGAAGTTGGATTTTACAGAAGGGAAAAAAAAGTTAAAGGAAAAGGGTAAGGAAAAAGTAAAGCGGAAAAAAATAAAAATTTTCCACCTTGTTTGGAACCTTAAGAAAATTTATGTGGAAAAAAAAAAATAGAAAAAACTCACTCAAAACTTTTATCTCGTAAAAATTGAAATTTTAAAGGAGTTTGTCTCTCTCATCACTCTATTTCATCAATTTTATAACACGGAATAAAATAAACCAAATCAATTTATATCTTATCACTTTCTCTCTCATCATTCTCTCACCTCACTTTCCCTCTCATCACTTTCTCACCTCACTTTCTCCTTGTTAGGCCACCTATCAGGTTGGTCTACTCTAGGAAAAGGGGCCAAAAGGGGAATACGTTGGGACTGGGGGAGGGAAGTGAAAATATGAGAAAGGGGTGCTGAGGTGGCAAGTTGGTTACGAGAGGGTGAGCTGGGGAATATTTAGGCGGTAGAGTGGCTTGAGAATTGGTGTCTGTGAATTGAGAATTTTCTGGACAGATCGTGGGAGGAAGGAGAACCTCGAATTCTCCATTGTTCTTTTATGTTTCCTATCTTTTTCTGCTAATCGCTTGTTTTGTAAGAAGACTCCTCTCCAGAGAGAGTTGAGAGTGAAATTAATAAAATAAGCTTGGCTCATTTTTTCAAGTTTTCCTCAATACTTGTTATAATCTGAAAACTATGCAGGAACCTAACAATTTGGTATAAGAGCAATAAGGATCCATGGCGGACGCTTCCAACGAACGGGCTCAGGCAGAGGAGATGTCACGGCTGGAACGGAGACTGGACACGTACTACGAGGCGCTTCAGCTTGTAGAGAGGTTGACAGAACCTCTTCCCAAGCTCCAAGACGACGTGAATGATATCGGAGCGCAATTGGGAGAAGTGCAAGGATCGGTACAGCGGCTGGAGAATCTTCTCCTCCGTCAGGCAGATCTACTCCAGCGGAACCCACCGCCACCGCCACCACGATTCGAGGCGGGCCCGGCACGATTTCAAGACCCACGACGACCGGCTCCCCACCTTCGACCAGCATCTCCACCACCACCGCTACGAGACAACGAACCCAGGCGGTATGGGCGCGATCTACGTCCGGAGTCGCCACCGCTTCCCAGTGGTCGAGTGGAGCATCGAGGAAGAAGGTTGGAGATGCCTCTGTTTACTGGTGCGGACCCACAGGGGTGGGTATTTCAGGCTGACCGGTATTTCGCCGTCAATGAGGTGGAAGAGGATGAGAGGGTGGTGGTAGCATCAGTTTGCATGGAGGGGCGGGCTCTAGGCTGGTTCCAGTGGGCGGATGCTCAAGATCCGTTCAGGTCTTGGAGGGACCTTAGGGCGGCGGTGTTGCGACGGTTTGGGCAGATGGGGGAGGTAGACCCGGTGGAGCAGCTCATGGCTCTCCGACAGAAGGGCACGGTGGCGGACTTCCGGGATGAGTTTGAAGCAACTGCCGCTCAAATGAGGGGGGTTCCCAACGTGATTTTCAGAGGAGCCTTCCTTCACGGGCTCAGGGAGGACATCAGGGCCAAGTTGAAAATGCATCGGCCCAACAGTCTCTACGACATGATGGACCTAGCCCAACAGGTGGAGGCCCGCAATGGAGCTACGGATCGGGTCAGGAGATACCGGATGGGTCGTGGGCCTAGGGCTGACGCGTGGAATAGGCAAGGGGGGCCTTATGAGGGTCAAAAGTTTTCTCCATCCACTCCAAAACAAAAGCTACGGCGGGAGGACACGGGTCACGGCTGGGAACAGGGATAGGAACAAACCCGGCTGCGGGGGAGTCATCGGCGTTCCGACAGGAGGAGATGCAATATCGGCGAGCCCGGGGCCTTTGCTTCAAGTGTGATGAGAAGTTCGGCCCGGGTCACCGCTGCAAAAACCGTCAGCTACAGGTGCTGATCCTGGCAGAGGAAGAAGAGTCCTCGGACGGAGACGGCGGGGTGGTCCGAGATCACTCCACTGACGAGGAAAAGGGAAAAGAGGAGGCTACCGAGAGAGTGGACTTATCTCTCAACTCTATTTGTGGGGTGTCTTCTTCCAACACAATGAAGCTCCGAGGACACAGTGGTGGTCGTGAGGTAGTGGTGCTGGTGGACAGCAGCGCCACGCACAGCTTCATTTCGGCCTCGGTGGTGACGGAACTGCAATTGCCGGTCGATCATTCGGTAAGTCACAATATCTTAGTGGGGAATCGTTTGAGTTTTAAACAAACTGGTATTTGCAGGGGAGTGCAAGTGTGGATTCAAGGGCATCGGGTAGAGGAGGATTCTTTTCCTTCGAGTTAGGGGGATCCGACCTGGTCCTGGGAGTGACTTGGCTGAGTACACTCGGCGAGTTAAGGGCGGGCTAGTCTAAGTTCTTAATGAAGTTTAGGGCAGGACCGACGTGGGTAATTTGGCGAGGGAACCCCAGTTTATGTTATGCCCCGGTGAAGATGAGTTCTTTGATTTGAACTCTTCCCCCGAACAGGGCGGGTTTGTTGGTGGAAGTATGTGAACTTGAATTGCAGGGAACAGACAGGAAAAAAGAGATTCCGGAGGAGGTTCGGGAGGTTCTTGGGAAGTTCGAGGGGGTGTTTAACAGTCCTACGGGGCTGCCACTGCGCCGGGGACAGGATCACCAGAGTGTACTGCGAGAGGGGGCTGACCCCCCAAATGTTCGGCCGTACCGTTATCCACAAGTTCAAAAGGGGGAGATAGAGCGCTTGGTGTCGGACATGTTGGCTGCCGGGATCATTCGTCCGAGCAACAGCCCCTACTCGAGCCCGGTGCTCTTGGTTAGGAAGAAGGACGGTAGCTGGCGCTTTTGCGTGGACTATCGCGCCTTGAACCAAGTCACCATTCCCGATAAGTTTCCAATCCCATTGATTGATGAGCTACTAGACGAACTTCATGGGGCAGTAGTGTTCTCGAAACTGGATTTACGAGTGGGATATCACCAAATCAGGGTGCATGAGGCTGATGTGGAGAAGACAGCCTTTTGTACGCATGAGGGCCATTACGAATTCCTCGTCATACCCTTCGGACAAACTAATGCGCCAGCCACCTTCCAAGCCCTCATGAACCAGATTTTTCGTCCTTGTATTCTTTGACGATATTCTGGTGTACAGCCATTCTTGGGAGGAGCATCGCCATCACTTAGCCACTGTCTTGGAAGTTTTGCGGCAGGAGAAGCTATTTACTAACAAGGAAAAGTATTGTTTTGGCCAGCCACAGTTAGAGTATCTTGGCCACCTTATCTTGGGGCAAGGAGTGGCCGCTGACCCTTCTAAGATACAGGCCATCTCCTCTTGGCCACCGTTAACGAATGTTCGGGAGGTACGCGGATTTTTGGGGCTCACCGGGTACTATCGTCGCTTCGTTAAGGGCTATGGAGTCCTCGCGAGGCCCTTGACGGATTTGCTTAAAAAGAAGGGATTTGTTTGGACCGACGAGGCGGCTCGCGCCTTTGACAACCTTAAGATAGCAATGACCTATCTACCGGTGTTGGCTATGCCGGATTTTTTGAAGACGTTTGTGATAGAGTCGGATGCCTCAGGGGTTGGTTTGGGCGCGGTCTTGATGCAAGAGGGAAGGCCTATATCGTTCTTTAGCAAGGCCCTCTCCCCTACTTCCTGGTTGAAGTCTGCTTATGAGCGAGAGCTCATGGGTTTTGTGCTCGCAGTTCAGAAATGGCAGCACTATTTACCGGGACGCCACTTTGTGTTACGCACTGACCAGTAGAGCTTGCGTTTTCTGATGGGCCAACGCCAACTTCCCCCTGAGCAGCTGCGGTGGATATCCAAGTTGCTTGGTTATGATTTTGAAGAGCAGTACAAGTTGGGGGCTGCCAATTGGGTTGCGGACGCGCTCTCTCGTCGCGGTGACTGGGGTGATGTTTCCTTCTCCGCCTTCTCTATACCACACACGTGGGATTTCACTGCAATTTGGGTGGAGCAACGTGCGGAGCCGGAATGGGCTTCTGTTATTTCCAAGCTCGAAGCAGGGAAGGTTCTTGAAGCTTATTCGTTGAAGAATGACCTACTGTTTTACAAGGACAGGTTGGTATTGGTAGAGCATTCTCATTGGATACCTGGGTTATTCCACGAGTTTCATGATTCGGTAATCAGCGGTCACTCGGGCTTCCTGTGCACATACAAGCGGCCATCCGCACTAGTTTTTTGGCGAGGAATGAAGCGCCGGATCAGGGAATATGTGGCTACTTGCGAAATTTGCCAAAAGAACAAAACGGATAACTTGTCTCCTGCCGGCCTCTTACAACCACTACCGATTCCAAGTCAGGTTTGGGAAGATGTATCTATGGACTTCATTGGGGGCCTTCCCAAGTCTAATGGGTTCGACACAATCTTAGTGGTGGTTGACCACTTGTCGAAATACTCATTTATGTCCCTTGGCTCACCCCTTCTCGGCTAAGCAGGTGGCTGCCCTGTTCATCTCAACTATCGTCAAGCTCCATGGCATTCCGCGGTCCATTGTCAGTGATAGGGATGCAGTTTTTATGAGCGGGTTCTAGCGCAAGTTGTTCAAATCGCCGGGTACTAAGCTATGTGCTAGTTTGGCTTACCACCCGGAGTCCGATGGCCAAACCAAGGTCGTTAATCGATGCTTAGAAACGTACTTACGGTGCTTTGCGGGAGATAAGCCTCAGCAGTGGTCTTCGTTCATTCCATGGGCCGAATATTGGTTCAACACTACTTTTAATGCCTCCGCTAAGTTCACACCCTTTCGCATTGTTTATGGTCGCGATCCCCCCGCTCTTCTTCGCTTCTCTGACTCCGGGAACTGTGGCAGCAGTGGAGGACCAGCTGGCCCTTCAGAATGATATGTTGGACCTCCTAAAATCTCATCTGCTATTAGCTCAGCAACGTATGAAGAAATTCGCCGACAACCACCAACGGGAATTAAATTTTGACGTGGGTGAATCGGTTTTGCTTAAGCTTCGGCCTTATAGGCTCAAGTCACTTGCTCGTCGCGTGAATGAGAAGCTTGCCCCGCGTTTTTATGGGCCGTTTGAAATTTTGGACAGAATTGGACCGGTGGCGTATCGTTTGCAGTTGCCAGCAGATGCTCGCCTCCACCCTGTTTTCCACGTTTCCCAGTTGAAGTCCTTCAAAGATAACGTTTCTCAGGTGCAACCTCTCCTTGCGCAGCTCTCCGATGACTTAGAGCTCTGTGTCCAACCGGCAGAAGTGTTAGCTTCCCGAGTGGTGGTTGTGGGAGGTCGTGAGGAACCGGAGGTGCTCATCAAATGGCTCGGCCTACCAGATTGGGAGTCCACATGGGAGCATGTGGCTGCTGTCCGCTTGCAGTTTCCTTCTTTCAACCTTGGGCACAAGGTTGTTTTCGAGGGGGGGGGGGGGGGGGGTGGTGGTTGTGGGAGGTCGTGAGGAACCGGAGGTGCTCATCAAATGGCTCGGCCTACCAGATTGGGAGTCCACATGGGAGCATGTGGCTGCTGTCCGCTTGCAGTTTCCTTCTTTCAACCTTGGGCACAAGGTTGTTTTCGATCGAAGAGGGGGTAATGTTAGGCCACCTATCACGTTAGTCTACTCTAGGAAAAAGGGCCGAAAGGGGAATACGCTGGGACGGTGGGGGAGGGAAGTGGAAATATGAGAAAGGGGTGCTAAGGTGGCAAGTTGGTTACGGGCTGGAGGTGGCAAGTTGGTTACGAGGGGGTGAGCTGGGGAATATTTAGGTGGTGGAGTGGCTTGGGAATTGGTGTCTGTGAATTGGGAATTTTCTGGACAGACTGTGGGAGGAAGGAGAACCTCAAATTCTCCATTGTTCTTTTCTGTTTCCTTTCTTTTTCTGCTAATCGCTCGTTTTGTAAGAAGACTCCTCTCCGGAGAGAGTTGAGAGTGAAATTAATAAAAGAAGCTTGGCTCATTTTTTCAAGTTTTCCTCAATACTTGCTGTTATAATATGAAAACTAAGCAGGAACCTAAAACTCCCTCCTCATTCTCTCACCTCACTTTCTCTCTCCTCACTCTCTCACCTCACTTTATCTCTCATCACTCTCTCCTCAGTTTCTCTCTCCTCCAGCACAAACACTTCCAAAAGACGGTGTCAAAGCCTCCAAGTTCAACTAGCACAAGCACTTTAAAAAGATGGAATAGACCAAATACACATCTAGTGCTTTCAATCTTAACAAGATGCCCTGATTAAATCATACTGTAATGACAAAAGGGGCCAAAAGGGGAATACGTTGGGACTGGGGGAGGGAAGTGGAAATATGAGAAAGGGGTGCTAAGGTGGCAAGTTGGTTACGGGCTGGAGGTGGCAAGTTGGTTACGAGGGGGTGAGCTGGGGAATATTTAGGTGGTGGAGTGGCTTGGGAATTGGTGTCTGTGAATTGGGAATTTTCTGGACAGACTGTGGGAGGAAGGAGAACCTCAAATTCTCCATTGTTCTTTTCTGTTTCCTTTCTTTTTCTGCTAATCGCTCGTTTTGTAAGAAGACTCCTCTCCGGAGAGAGTTGAGAGTGAAATTAATAAAAGAAGCTTGGCTCATTTTTTCAAGTTTTCCTCAATACTTGCTGTTATAATATGAAAACTAAGCAGGAACCTAAAACTCCCTCCTCATTCTCTCACCTCACTTTCTCTCTCCTCACTCTCTCACCTCACTTTATCTCTCATCACTCTCTCCTCAGTTTCTCTCTCCTCCAGCACAAACACTTCCAAAAGACGGTGTCAAAGCCTCCAAGTTCAACTAGCACAAGCACTTTAAAAAGATGGAATAGACCAAATACACATCTAGTGCTTTCAATCTTAACAAGATGCCCTGATTAAATCATACTGTAATGACAAAAGGGGCCAAAAGGGGAATACGTTGGGACTGGGGGAGGGAAGTGGAAATATGAGAAAGGGGTGCTAAGGTGGCAAGTTGGTTACGGGCTGGAGGTGGCAAGTTGGTTACGAGGGGGTGAGCTGGGGAATATTTAGGTGGTGGAGTGGCTTGGGAATTGGTGTCTGTGAATTGGGAATTTTCTGGACAGACTGTGGGAGGAAGGAGAACCTCAAATTCTCCATTGTTCTTTTCTGTTTCCTTTCTTTTTCTGCTAATCGCTCGTTTTGTAAGAAGACTCCTCTCCGGAGAGAGTTGAGAGTGAAATTAATAAAAGAAGCTTGGCTCATTTTTTCAAGTTTTCCTCAATACTTGCTGTTATAATATGAAAACTAAGCAGGAACCTAAAACTCCCTCCTCATTCTCTCACCTCACTTTCTCTCTCCTCACTCTCTCACCTCACTTTATCTCTCATCACTCTCTCCTTAGTTTCTCTCTCCTCCAGCACAAACACTTCCAAAAGACAGTGTCAAAGCCTCCAAGTTCAACTAGCACAAGCACTTTAAAAAGATGGAATAGACCAAATACACATCTAGTGCTTTCAATCTTAACAAGATGCCCTGATTAAATCATACTGTAATGACAAGATGCCCTGACTTTCCATGCATGTCTAGAACTAAATGGCAGCAAAGCTTTGTTTTAGGGTGCACTAATGTAAACTAGCTACAGATGTGGATCAACTTTTCTTTCTAGTAATTTTCTTCCTCTCCTCCACATGTCAGATCTCATCTGACAACAATCTACAGCTTTCTGCCCAGAAGACTCCAACGCCTTCTCTTATCCTTTGATCACATTCATTCTGAATCTTGGGCTCCCATTTAAAATGTGTATGTGCTTTTCTAGCTAAGTCTGTTTCCTAAGAGATGACACACATGGAAAAGCTCCCAAAAAAAAAAAAAAACCCATATGCAACAACCCAGATTCAAGGTACACAGAACCAGCACACTGCTTCCATATTCTCTGAGTATGCCTATTAAAATTTTTAAGTCAAGTCCGTTCATTTCGCTAGTTCGAATCCTAACTTAAGTTTTTTATTACAGTATTTTTTCTCACAAAAATTCAAATTAAACCTTAAAACGAATTCTTTCCCTCCATAAAATCCAACTTCCAAACAATGCCTAATCTCAACAAAATTGTCACAAATTAGACCTGTTATAAAAAAAAAAAGGGGAATCCAGATTTTAAAACTAATCCATTAACAATTACAGCGACCTATTGGCTGTTTCAACCTACTGTTTAGAATTTTGAACTAACAACTTAAAAAAAAAAATTCAATACCTTCACCAGTTGAGGCGGAACGACGGCAAGGGAGAAGTCCGAGAGGAGACAGAGCAACGGCGAGGGAGAGGTAGCGATGCGACGGCGCGGGGGTTCCGGCCGTTCGGGACTGAGAAAGATGAGATGAGGGAGTTAATGAGAGAGAAACTGAGAGAAGTGAGAACGTTGGGGAATTTGGGGTAATTGTGGGGGATATTTTCGGTTTCTTATCTATTTTTATTAAAATATCCAAAACACCCTGTATTTTGTTGCTTAAATATCGCCTTTGATTTATATTCCGAAGACAGCCCCTACGTATATAAAATCATAATTAAAATTCCCCCTGAAAAAATTAAAAATTTTTAAAATATTAAAATTGCCCTTTTCATATATGATTAAGGAATTTTTTCTAGTAGGACTGAAAAAAATAAACTACTAGTAATAATTTACTTTTCAGACATTAAATTTATATTAAAAATTATATGTTATATATAATTTTTTAATTTGATGTGATTTTAACCTTATCTAACTGTCAAAAACAGATCCTACCAGTAGGTCAACCTATCAGAGAAAGTCCTTATGATTTAACTAAAAAGTCAACTAAAAAATTTTAAAATGTTCAAATAAATATTCTCAATCAAACAAATACTTCAATTATTTTGAGGGATTTTCATTTTTTAAAAATTGATTTTATTTGATATTTTTGTTTAACAATGTTTTAAATTGTATATACTAAAGGTTAGCATGATAATTTTGGTATTACAAAAGATTTAATTGCTTCAGGAGATATTTTGAGTCTGGTTCTATAAATATGATAGGTGTTTTAAACGTTTGCATGATAAGAGATGTGAAAATAGTATTTAGACAAAACACATGAATGTCACGTTTTTTTCACTGATTTGAATTTTATTACAGTAAAAAGTTCTAAAAAATAGTCACATCTAACTTTTTTACTACAGTAAAAAGTTCTCACATAATATCACATCTTAACTCGAATTAAAAACTCGAATTAGCAAACTGAACGGGCCTGAAATGTATTAAATATTATCCTTTTATTTTCTAAAACTTTGGTAATTAAAAAAGTATTAAAGAAAATAAATATGTATATTGGAATTTTTATAAGTCCGGTACCCAGTTAATTAGACACATGTAATTTTTTTTATATGCATGTCTAATGATAACTCTATTAAAAATATAGTTATTTCATTATTTTTTGTGCATTAAAATAGGCTAATTTTTGAGATTTTTATTTTATTTTATTTTGAATTTAGTTAATTTACTTTTTATTTTATTTTTACATAATTTCATTTGATTTAATTTTATATTAATTTAGATTTTCATTAGCTTTATTTTATTTTATTTTAGTTTATATAGTTTAGTTTTGGTAATTTTTATTTTAGTTATCTTCTAAAATAATTAATGTTCTCATTTGTGTTTAATTTGGTGACAGAGGGGTTTAAGTGAAAAGTTTGAAATGAAATGGGGTCAGAAGTACAAAGAAAAAGGAGCTAAATTGAAAAGATAAAGTTTCAATGGGTCAAAAATATCAAAGAATTCAAATTGGGAACCGGTTTCAGATTCCACACTTCCCCTGCGACTCCACGTGGATCCCACTGCCCTGCTCCGAACCACAGCGCGCCACCTGTCCACACACCTCAGAGCCCTAATGGGCTGCCTTTCACGTGTGGAATAAATCCCTTTGAGCCGCCATTCCCAAGGAGCAGACCACCCCTTTTACTCTCTTGAACACAGTGCCGAAAAAAAAAAAAAGACATGAAATAAGGCTTTTATGCCATATTTTGGGAGTGAAAAAAATATAAATATATATTTTTATTTCTTTTGCTTTAGAATTTCACAAGTCTGTATTCCACACGTTGAGTACAATATTGTATTATATAATAGCTGTATTTAAAATATATTTATATATATATATTATATAGTATTATTATATATATACAGATTGTACAAAATAAAATACAATATTGTTGTGATTCTTGAGTATTTCATTTGTTTCAGCTGCAAATATAAAAATGAGAAAATTAGTTGTAAATATAAGTGTTAAGAAAAATAAAGATGTTTAAATTATATAATATGAAATAAACATTATAAAAATATTTATATTACCTTGTTTTTGGACGTTTTCAGATTGTCTTGTTGTTCATGATTCCGGACAAGTAGTCAAGCGTAGGTAAGAAAAATAGGAAAGTACAAAATAGAGTTATATATAGAACCGGGGAGAAAAAAGAAACAAGGGAAAAATGATAGACCAATATAAAGAATAATAAGAATCAAATAGTCTATGCAATATACTTAGTTGCAATAACATATCATATACATAAATTAAAGCTGTGTATAGAAGAAACTAGTGCTTTATATTATATTGTAAATTGAGTAAAGATCCTAAATATATGAAGAAACATTTAGAAAAACATAAGATTATATATAAATATTTGGTTCAGGTTATAATCATTTATTGTGAAAAACATATACTATGAGTAATTGCAAACAAATCTAGCAATATACACGGCTGTCATCTATATTATTAAGAAATTTATGTCATAAGTAAGAAAAATTAGTATACAAATAAAATACTAAATCTATCTACAGAAAGAACGCATGTTTTTTATTACATTATAAAATAATTACAAAAAATTTAAAAATAAAGAAACATCTAAAACAAATAATGTTGTATATAAATATTTGGTTCACGTCACAAAATCATCAAACCATTTTCCATATTCTTTTGCATGATGGAGGCAAGGAATTTAACTCATTAGAGATGCTGCATAAATGTTGAAAATTTTAAAAGAGTTTACATCATTATACCTAAATTCATGCAATTGTGGCCCGCACCGGTTAATTAAGTAAAGTGATGAAGTATATATTCTCTTGTAAGTTGTAAAGTTCCAAATCTTCAAGCTTTCTCAATCTCTAAGTACAACTTATATGGCTACCAATTAATAATACTAAATTTTTTATAAATAAAGGAATTAAATTATAGTAAAATTTTGAACACTCTGTAAATATCAAATGCTAGTCAATCAAGTAAGAATAACAGTGAAATGATGGAAGGTGGACTGGAAGGGAAAAAATAGTTAGGCGCAGAGAAAAGAAGCAGGAAAGTACAAAATAGAGTCATATGTAGAACCGGGGGGGGGGGGGG